TATATATTTTAGATACATGTGTTATATATATATATATATATATATATATATATATTATATATATATATATTTTTTTTTGGTAGATTTTGAACTCTGGGGGCATTTGGTAGAGTTTGACCTCTGCACCTTATCATATAGTTGTCATATTTCGTCAGCTAAGTATGCAATATTGCAGTTTGTCGAACTGTTTCTTACAAGAGGTGGTCTTGCATTTATGTTCTAAACGCATCAGATGTTGATTTTCACGCCTGTTTCCTGAGCACACATCTTGAGCATTCCTGCACACTGCAGAACGCAGCCCGTTTCCTGTGGCCCTGACCTTGCTTCCAATTTTTTTGACATAATTTCCTGTTTGTTCTTTAGACTTTCACGGCCTGGTGCAACTCTCACCTGCGGAAGTCAGGAACGCAGATCGACAACATCGAGGAGGATTTCAGAGATGGACTCAAACTCATGCTGCTCCTAGAGGTCATCTCAGGTCAGTGAGCTGCAAGCTTCCTTCATTCACCCAGAAGCCTCTAGTTCTTTTGCAGCTTTCCAGAGCTGTGCGAAACACTGCAGAGGCGCTGAGGCTCTGAGCTAATGTTTAGCCGAGGGCTTGTGTTTGTGCTGATCCGATGGAAAGCGTGTTAGAGAACTCCTCGTGTTTTTGTGCAGGGGAGAGGTTACCTAAACCTGAAAGAGGCAAGATGAGAGTTCACAAGATCAACAACGTCAACAAAGCGCTGGACTTCATCGCCAGCAAAGGAGTCAAGCTGGTGTCCATCGGTGCAGAAGGTACAAACTCCGCACATCAGACTTTATATTCACTCCTGTATTTAAAAGAGATGAAGATCCCACAGCAGATCTGAAGGCTCGTGCATGTTCAGATCCGATGGAAAGCGTGTTAGAGAACTCCTCGTGTTTTTGTGCAGGGGAGAGGTTACCTAAACCTGAAAGAGGCAAGATGAGAGTTCACAAGATCAACAACGTCAACAAAGCGCTGGACTTCATCGCCAGCAAAGGAGTCAAGCTGGTGTCCATCGGCGCAGAAGGTACAAACTCCGCACATCAGACTTTATATTCACTCCTGTATTTAAAGAGATGAAGATCCCACAGCAGATCTGAAGGCTCGTGCATGTTCGAGTGCGTGTGTGTTTGGGAAATTGTGACCTTTTCGATCCTCCTTCATGTTGACGCAGTGTCTGACTCTGAGAGATTGAGCCAGTGTTTGAGTTATTAGAGTTTGCAATGCATATATTGCTAAGATTTGTATTTGCTAGGGGTTTTTTTATTATTATTTTTTTTAATCTCTGGTTGACTCACAGGCTCTCCAATCCTAATTCTTCTTCTGTCAACTGTCCGAACTAATAAATATCTCAAAATTAATAATATAACTAAATATATATATTTTTTCAAACCTGTAATTTATAATATTTATAGGATTTTGTGAATTTGCTCTTATAGAGATGAAGATCCCACAGCAGATCTGAAGGCTCGTGCATGTTCGAGTGCGTGTGTGTTTGGGAAATTGTGACCTTTTCGATCCTCCTTCATGTTGACGCAGTGTCTGACTCTGAGAGATTGAGCCAGTGTTTGAGTTATTAGAGTTTGCAATGCATATATTGCTAAGATTTGTATTTGCTAGGGGTTTTTTTATTATTATTTTTTTTAATCTCTGGTTGACTCACAGGCTCTCCAATCCTAATTCTTCTTCTGTCAACTGTCCGAACTAATAAATATCTCAAAATTAATAATATAACTAAATATATATATTTTTTCAAACCTGTAATTTATAATATTTATAGGATTTTGTGAATTTGCTCTTATTTTTATATTTTCCGTTTTCTTTTTAATTTTGTGTTTTAGTAATTTTGTAATGGGCTTTTTTTGTCATTTTTATTAGTTTTAAAAAAATATTTCTATTTAGCTTTATTTTTATTTCAGTTTTAGATTCAGTCATTTTAATGTCAGCTTAAACTTGTTTTATTTTATTTAGTTGTCAAGGCAATATTTCAGTTTGTGTGTATGTGTGTGTGTGTGTGTATGTG